GAGAAGAAAGAGAAAGAATGAAAGAGGAGGAGGAGGAAAGAGAAAAGAGAGAGGGAGGAGGAGAAATAAAGGAGGAGAAGGAGAGAGAAAAAGATAGGGAGGAGGAGGAGAAAGAAAGGAGGAGAGAGAAAAGAGGAAAAGGAGAAGAAAATGGCTATATCCATTAGCATCTGATCCCCAACGTATTACAGATTCCATGGTCAACTCAAGGGTCACCAATCGCCTTGCTTCTAATGCATCCAAGAGCTGTGCTTGGCCCTTTGTTCTAGAAGGTCTCTGTGCACGTCAAATGACTGAACTCATCCCCAGTCCTTCTGAGGTCCCAAATGAATTCGTAACTCTTATGGCAATGATTGCCAAGGGAGGCATTTCATTAGATGGCCACTTCCCAAGCTTTTCTGCTTCAGGTTTCTGAGATAGTTCTTGTTGTCAGATTCGGGTCTTCTCTTTTGACCCAGGATTCTGGTAGCTGTGTTGACACTGTCCTTGTTTAAGGAACCTTCTGGTCATAGCAGAAACAAGAGGAGCAAACAGCTTGCATATCAGTAGAGGATGAAGTCCCACCGATAAGGGGATGACTTATCTCCTGGAAGACTCCTGGCACTGAAGTCTAATTTACAGTGGCAAACCTTGTAACGTTACCTCCTTTTTTTTTAACTGCAGTTGGATCAATTGCAACTACTCAGGAAATCATGCTGAGAGCTCCATGACACAAAAAGCTTTGGCAGATAATTCTGGCGCATCATACCTTTGTTGAAGATGAAGGGGCTTGCCAACAGCCCTCTTGGCGGATGGGCAAGCCCTAACTATTTTTCTACAAGAGACACAACAACCCAGTGGTTGAGCAGTTCAGCATGCCAATCTCTGGCAAGGATATTTGGGAAGAAGCTGCCAATGATGCTAAAGGGACAGATACACTGATATGTTGCATGTAAATATCATGGATTTATGGAAGGGTTGCCATCAGACAATGCACTAAGCTGTTATTTTAGCCACCGTTTGATGAATAAGCCAACTGGGAGGGTTGACTTCAAGATATCACCTATGATTTATACATTAAAGGGGTGTGGTTTGCACCAGACACAGTCACAAACAAGGACATCACAATACAGCCCAATGCAAGGTATGGACCAAGCCATAGCAATAGCACTTAGATTTATGTTCTGATCCCCTTCTGTATGGTGAGGCACGCCAACACAAGATTATTGATAGACAATTTATTCACAGTAAATTAACACACCGACAAGACTTTGGCAGCAACCCAGACTTCCAAGATAAGAAATACACACGAGAGTTTCTCCAGCTTTAGTATATTAGTTGTGTCCTGCAAACAGCCTCCTCCCAAAGTCTCTTCTTATATACTCTCTTGGGAGGGGAGGAGCCTAATCACAACCACCTGGCCCCAATTATCTTCTGTATCTGCGTAGTTGCTGTCAGCGCTTATCTGCCCGCCTTTTTTATTTTTATAGATAACT